TCGTTTTGAAAGCAGGAATGTGTAAAATGGATGATATAATTTTTTTTTATTTAAAGTATTTTTTGACAAATAACTTTCCTTTATGTCCGAATTTGAAGCATGAACATTTGAATTGAAGTTAAACGTTGATTTGTTTAATATGTGTTACGTGACTTAAAAAATCAATTGATTGCGATAATGTTTTTTCATTTTTTTTTTCAATACCACAGTCCTCAGTTAATACTTTCCCCGCTACTGCATTCGAAGGAACTACACATTATGGAAGCATAAAACCAGGGTCTACTTTCTTCCTAAGCAGTAATAATGTCGGAAATGATGGCACGTATCAATTTATTATTTTATCTTTTGTCTATATTTAAAAGGTACATTCCTCATATCAACATTAATTAAAATGAATCTATAAATATTTATTTTCATTTTAAGGAAGCAAATACTGCGTAGAGTTTGGATATTTCATGTATGGGGAGAATGTCCAGTTAGACGTAATACAGCACTACATTGTAAGTGGAACTCCCAAAACAATCTGGCAACAGAAAAGTGACAGTGTATCTGGAAGTCTAGGGAGTTGGCAAAAAGCCGAGTTTACATTTCAAGGACAAACCGGGACAACCTTTGTAAGTTTATTTCATTTTATTTCGTCCATTATTCATACACTGAATTGACGACGTATTTTCCGTTATTTCTCGATAATGACAAGGAGCACAAGGCAGGTGTGACCGGTCAGCACGGGATGCTCACTTCTCCATGGCACGTGATCCCTCCTCTGATGTTTTGGAGGTCCGTGTTTGCTCTGCTCCTGTTTTGGATTGTTTTATGGACATTTGATCTTGAATACTGTTCGTTAGCTTCGTATATTTCATTGATACACTGAAAAAAAAACACTAGTTAAAGTCACTAACAAGACTAGTGAATTTACTGTCCGTACAATCATTACCTTAAAAGTAGTTTTACTAGGTATTGCGTAGATTTACTAAATAATATTAGAAAATCTAGAATTTAAAATATACTTTCACTAGGGATATCTATATGACCCCAGCTCAATTTCAAGCTATCTTACCCAGTAAACAGAAAGATTACTAATCACTACAACCACTTTACGAGACCCACTAGTTAGAATGATTAAGTATTTCTTTCAGTGTATTGCTTGTACATAGCTTCCATATGAATATAAACGCTTGATAAATTACACACAAGATGTTGAAAGAGAGAGAGAGAGAAATATACTATATTAGGTGGTTTCAAGAAAACTTGAAGATATTTTTTCCTAGAAGTTTTTTCACTGAGGTGTGGGCTTTACAAGAATTACAGATCTTATTTTTGGTTTGTCGATTTTCTACTTCACATTTTTACAGCACTTAGAAGATTGTTGTCTGAAAAGTACATGTGAAAAGTAGTCAGAAAAGTACATGATACGAAACAAACTTTAAAACATGTTTCTGGGCCTCCTTGCCATCATTATCAAACTCATTATGACGACGTTTTTTAATAAAAGAAAATTTGTACCGTCACTGATAGAACTGTGTAGAAGTATATATGAATTAAGATTTTTTTTTTTTGAAAATTGAAGAAACTAAAAAACACAAACACGACTTAAAAGCAACCATTTTGATAAAAGGATATTTTTTGTCAAGCCTTTATTATTAAAAAAAAAGGTGTATGACTTTTTTTTTATAAACACATTATTTGTTATTATATTTCAGTTTATAAGTGGGTCAACTGAGAATAGTGGGAATGGAATCCTTGCTGTGGACCAGATTAAAACTTACAAAGGCAATTGTGTCTAGCTTCAGCATTTCCAAGTAGTATACTCTTAATTGACAAATCAATAAAATGATTAAAAGTATGCAACTTGACTCTAATTTTCATTTTTGTCTTTTTGTTTTGAAAAAGTATCAGGAATATATGCCTAGAACCCATATCATATTCGAAGGAGATCATAACTTGAAAGTATTTTTCCCAACTCTCTTTAAACGATTAAAATGTGTACCTCAATGCTACACTTTTATTTTGAATAATAGTGTCATTTATATTTTCATGGAACTAGGTTCAATGAGAACTTAATGTGCCTGTGTTTGTTGTTACTCATTATGAGATATTCAAAGGTGACATATAGATATCACCGCTTCCATGGTCGTCATTTGATTTAGCTTAAATTTTCCCTGACGAATGTTTTTTGTGTACATATGGAGTAAATAAGACTTTGGAAATCATTTACTCTTTTTACAATTAATGATATTTTAAAATATAATTGAAAAAAATCCACAAAGAATTAAAAAAAAATCATAACTTGAAATTAAAATTACAAGATCGCTTTTTTAATTTACTCTGTCCATACTCTTAAATGTGCAACGTGTACTTTAAAAATGGTAGACAATAAATTTGAAGTTCATATAAAATTTCATTTTTTCTTATAATTATTACAAGGCAATATGACAAAAAACCCTAGACATATCCTTTTGTGAAACTGTACTGTGTATACGGTTTATTCTGCGCCCACAACACATAATATTATATTATATTGCCGTAGTAGTGTCCTGTACCAAATATGAAATTTGTTCAATAAAAATTATATGTCTGTAATACACAAATTTAATTGTATGAGTTTTAAATTTGGTAAAGGACAGCAGTACAGTCTTTGTAACACGACACTTCTGACATACCGTATATTACGTGTAAGTGGAAATTTTAGCGAGGCGCAAATTAATAAGCGATTTCTTTCTGAGAACTGGTATTTTATTTTTAGCGAGAAGTAATTTAAGCGATTTTTAAATGCTAACTCAAAAAGCTATTACAAATAATACGCAATTAATTTTTAGTGATATTCAATTTTTTTGATGTCATCACTCTCGCTAATAATGCCAAAATTAAATCCTCGCTAAAATTCTACTTATACGGTACATTAAAGCTGAACAAATGTAAAATGTTCTAAGCACTGTGTTCCTAGTCTACGGGATGCTCTTTTCTCCGGGCACCTTATCCCATCTCTGGTGTTTCAGGGATCCGTGTTTGTCCTGTTAAGGATCCGTTATTAGGACAGAATTTATGAAATTGTTTACTGTTCATTCTCTTCATCATTTTTCATGTACATGTATGTTCAACGTTTTAAAAATAAAGTACGAAACATAGTTAATTGAGTTTCTTTTCACTCATTTCATCAAAAGAAAAATATACTAAGAAGGACCTCTAAATACCCTCGTAAGGTAGGATTCTTCTCTGGTTTCTTAGATGAAATATTCAAAGTACATTTGATTATACACGTATGTTATATATTTAGGTGTAATAGATTTAAAAGACCATATTTTTCTTTCCTCATCACAATTGTACAACTTTAAATAGAAATGGTAAATCGCGTTTGAAAACTAGCAGAAACTATATTTTTGGCGTAATGGTGGCGTATGAAGATATCTTCTTTTCTGTCTCTCAAAATTATTACAGAACAGTGGATTAAGTTAATAGTTTTTACACAATCAAAGACTTGAAGAACTTTCAAATGTAAGTCTACTTAATAAATAACAAAGGAGAAAAGTTCCTAAATATATCAATTAAATATGATTTTTCAAACAAACTAGTATTGTGTTTATCAGCTTTTATAAGATTCCAATCTGAGTACAGATTTGAGCCAAAAAATCCGTAAAAAGTTTTTTCCTCTTAGTAAACGACCGGAACATTTTGTTTTTGTATCATTTTGTATCTTTATGTGACAACTTTACCATATGCGAAAATGAGAAAATATTAAATATTGAAAGCATATAAAAATAATATATGTTTAAAAAGTTAAGAAAAGTAGAGAAATTTATTTAATATTTATTAATTTTATGTCAATTTGGTAATGTCATCATATAGGCCCTTTTTGGCATCAAAATTATATGCAAAAAGAAAACATTCATTGACAATCTTTTGCAATACAAGTAAGGATCGCATAATTACAATGGTATTTTTTAAAATTATTATTAATGCCTAGGAAAACGGTAATGACCTTGACCTGACTTTGTCTCGAATATAAAACGGTCAAATTTAAACTCACTGATACCACCGTCTTCGTGATTTAATATTTTTAAAATAATTTTTAAATACAAGAAAAGAGAAGAATCATACCTTAATACAAGAAAATAGTATAATTACAGAACTGTAGCTCTCTGCTTGAGCAAATTCGGACTGATAAAGCAGAGAGCTACAGATCCAAACCTTCAAAAATCCCCTTATTTTCGCCGCCGATTTTTGTCGCTCACTTTGGGCATTGTTCCTTGCATTATATACTTTCCCCAGCTTTAAAATGGTATTTAACAATTAATCAAACATTTAACTCTACTTCTTGATATTTACTGACCTTTCAACCCAACGCTAACAAAAGGTCGTTTGGGGTTACGGACGTCGAAATGGGACTCTTTTAAACCGACATTACAAAACTATATATTGGACTGTTTCGAACCGTCAAAAGGCAAATTAAGTATAAACAAATAAGAGTTAAATATATTATTAATTATAGAATACCATTCCAAAAGCCAGAGAAAGCATAAAATTCAAGAAATAATACCTAAATTATCGACAAAAAATGCACATGTTTTCCAGGGATCTGTAACTCATTGCAAGAAACTCTGGAATAATTGCATAAGTTACTACAATATGGTTTCAACTTTCAGTAGATAAAATGCATGTACGATTGACGACTTCGCATAAGTATTAAGTTTTATTTTAATTTCTCTTTTTCGTGTATCACTGTAAGGTTGATAACAGATGTTCATCAAACTTACACCATTTGATACACAATAAAAATTATATGATTTATATTATATACACTTGTACATTGACAAAATTTATTCTTTCATTAAGAAGGGAACTACTCAAAGCAAAGGTATTCTTTAAGAGAAATAGATTCTGATTTCTTGTCAAATTCTTAACCAATTTTCTATCTAAAGAATTTTGCATGTTTCTGTATGTATAAAATAATATGTTGATCTGGATATTATTTTTATTTCGTGTTCCCACATTTTTGTAAGATAATGGCGCTACATGTATACCTTGTCCTGGTTTTTATTCTCCTCACGACTCATGGAGAACAGACACAGACCGGAATCTGTAAAGACGTCTTACAGGGTTACCTGACAGGGAAACTTTCCTATCAGGTAGAGGCCCTAAAGCAGGAATTCAAAAGCTTCAAAGACGTCATCAACGTCATTGAGGAATCGATGAAAAAGTTCAAGGACGCAGTTAACGCTAGCATACAGGAAGGAGGTTAGCTGCAGATCTGTAGCTCTCCGAAAAAAATATATTGATAGACCGGAGAGCTACAGTGCCACCCATTGAAAAAACTGTATATTTATTGCGCACAAAAAAGTGCGCTCGGTTCTCGATTTTTTATCCATGTTTTTAAAACTGTAATCTCAAAATATTACTAACCGTGTGTTCCTAACTTATTCTTTCGCTGTTTTCACAACCAAACATTCCTCATAATTGTTGTTAATAGTCCTCCTGACCCTGATACCAGTATTGTAATCATCGAAGATTTCGATTATTTATACTGCAATTTTGGTTTCAAAGATAATTCGGTCCAATGTGCTTCGTTCAGATGTCAACTACGAGAGTACGTGATTGAGGATAAAGGATTTTTTTTAATCTTTCCTTTTATGAAAATTGAGGTAAGAATTTGAAAGAATTAATCAAGAACCGAGCGCACTTTTTTGTACGCAATAAATATACAGTTTTTTTTTCAGTGGGTGGCATTGTAGCTCTCCGGTCTATCAAAATATTTTTTGGGAGAGCTACAGATCTGCAGCTAGAAGGAGGTATGACTCTAATGTACATGAATAGTGCCTATTTATTATTATTATCATTTCATTCCATGTATTAAAAAATGTTTTTGGTAGGTATTGCAAACAGAGACATTATATATACAAGATGGGGAAAGAAAAAGTGTCCTTCAAACGCAAAATTAGTCTATTCAGGTAAATAAATTCTACATTTTTTAAAGTTGATTAAGAAATTTTCTGCTGTGTAGTTTTTGTTTGTCAATAAATATATTTCAATTTAATAGTGTAAAATAAAGAGAAAAATAAAGATAAAAAAAACAAACAAACAAATAGATAGGTAAAGACAGACAGACAGAAAGAAATCCATTATTAATAAACGAATTTACGATTGAGAAAATTAAGTAGGATTCGTCGGAGGATCGCATGCTGGTCATAAAGGAGCAGCTGTAGAACCTCTTTGTTTACCGAGGGACCCAGAGTGGGGGTTGTACAAGGATGGATTTGAAGGAGCTAAAGCTTATATATTCGGAGGAGAGTACGAAGCAAACACCTTCACAGGTCACTTTACGTCACTCCATGATCATAATGTACCGTGTGCTGTGTGTCTTGTTCAAAAAAGATCTGTAGTAAAAATGTTCCCAGGTGAGAAAATATCGTAAATGCAAGTTAACTCTAACTTTTATTTTAAATTTGCCTATTAGAAATTGTATATCTTTTTTTATTCCCAAGTGAGGAATTAAGGACGCTCTAAATACTGCATACTAAAGAGCTCTATTTAATACAGGGTAGTTTTATGCAGTCAGATTTGTCTGCCCTTTGAAGTAAGATTTAAGAAATTGTTATTTACAGTTTATTATATGATTTGCAATAGATTAAAATATTTTCAGCATTATATACATTGTAAGACCAAGACTAAGAAATTAATTATTTTCATTAATTTTCCCAAAGTAAGCAAGCAACAGTGATTTCTGCTCACAAATACTAGTAGTTCATTGTCTTTGAACATTTCTCCTGCGGAAACAAGGCACGTACCCTATGTTCTAACTGAAGGATAAAGTCTCAATATGCATATCTTTAAATGATATACTTTTCTCTGAGTCCAATACGCAGTTTCTGTTAGTGTTTAGAGCTTCCTCAGTAAAATATTTTATACAGCGTTTTGGACTCTGTAGCCGTATTTGAAGATTAAAGCAATATAAGCTGCATTTTTGAGACATTTAATTTGCTGTTAAAATGTTCTGTTATCGTCAGTCTGTCATTATGTCAGTCTGAAAACTTTTCACATTTTCAACCTCTTCCCAAGAATCACTGGGTCAATTTCAAACAAATTTGTTACAAAACGTCCTTTGGTAAGGGGAAGTGTAAATTATTAAAATGAAGGACCAATTGCCCATATACAACGGAAATAATTCATAACAGAAAAGAACAGCGATCATTTAAAAGTTTTCTTCTCAAAAGCCACTGCGCCAGAAAAGTTTAATCATGGCCGCCGGGGTAAGGCAGGGCCAAAAAAGGTTATCAAAGTTTTATAATGAATTATATACTACATGTAGCATATGTATATCTTTAAAAATCTCTTCTCTAGATCTGCTGTGCCAGAAAAATTTAAACGGATGTGGAAGCATCCTTCAAATTCTAAATTGTTTAAATCCTGATCCCCTGGGGTAAGGTGTTGCCAAAACAGGAGGAATTTAAGTTTTACACTGAAACAGAATATAAACAAGAGGCCCACGGGCCTTATATGTCACCTGAGTATTGTGTAACAATTTTCAAACAATTAAATTTGGTTCGTGTTTTAAACCAGAAGCCATGAAATTCACAATTCACAATTATGACAGAGGCACCATTGCTAATCATAATTATCAACTTAGCATGATTACTCTATTTACTTAATACTCAGAGGTAGATCAGAGTAACAAAGAGAAAACGCACTTCTACTTTGTACCCAGTTGTGCACCTCATCCCAAAGGAACCACTGACCCAGGGGCCACGTATTTCAAAATTTTGCAAATTTTGTCATAAAATGGTTGATTAATACCAAAGAGCAGATTTCAGAGCATTAATTTATTTTCAGACTATGTAAAGCACCACCCCCGCCCCCCTCTGACCCAGGGGGCATAAAAAAACCACTTTGCTAGATGCACCTTTTTTCATCATTAATATATGTACATGGATCATTGGCATAAAACTCAGGGGCAAAGGAAAATATTTTCAAAGAATAAATGCATTTTCACTATATAATCAATAGAGCCCCGCCCTAACACCAGAACCCCTGACCCTTGGGCCATAAAATTCACAATTATGGAAAAGGCACTCTTGCTCATCATAACTATCTGCTTAGTTAGTTTATTTAATACCCAGAAGCAAAGAAGAAGATTTTCAAAGAAGAAATGCATTTTGACTATTTAATCATTAGAGCCCCGCCCTAACACCAGAACCCCTGACCTTGGGGCCATAAACTTCACAAATCTGGAAGAGGCACTCTTGCTCATCATAACTATGTACTTACAATAGTTAGTTTATTTAATACCCAGGAGCAGAGAGGAAGACTTTCCAAGAATTTATACATTTTCACTATATATTCTATTTAGCCCCGCCCTAGTACTTGAACCCTTGACCCAGGGGACATGAATTTCAAAATTTTGGTAGAGGACTCAATGCTGATTACAATCATGCCAACAGTTTGCCTGCTTGATGTCCAGGAGTAAAGAAGAAGATTTTTAAAGATTGCAATAATTTTAGTGGTTTTGGCCCCACCCCTCACGCCCCAGGGGGGCGATGACCCTGAAATTCAAGATTTCTGTTCCCCTCCACCCATAGATGCTGTATATCAAATTTAGTTGAAATTGGTTTAGTGGTTTCAGAGAAAAAGCTGCAAATATTCAAATGTTAACACACGACACACGACGGACGAAAACGGATAGCAATAGGTCACCTGAGTTTACTCAGGTGACCTAAAAATATAAGATTTAAAAATTTCCTTTCAAGAACCATAAAAGCTGAAACCTAGCTATTTTGAATATTCCTGAAATAATACAGATTTGAAATTGTTCACATCATAAACCCCAGGGGTAGGGTCGGGCAACAACAGAGAATCTGTTATCATTTAATTGTAAGAGAAAACAAAAAAACTCAAGAACCACTGGGCCGGAACTTGCTGAAACTTATGTTAAAGCACACTGGGGGCAGTGTAGATTCTAAACTGCTCAATCAAGGTTCGGAGGGGGGGGTAGGGTCAGGCTACAACAGGGAATCAAAATCAAGATAAATCTTGTCCTCAAAAACCAATAGACCAGAAAAGTTGAAACTTATGTGGAAGCTTCCTGGGGTAGTAAAGATTTTTAATTGTTCAAATCATACACCCGGGAGTAGGGTGATGCAACAATAAGTTTAACCGGGGGATCAAGAGAAAAAATGACAGGGATAAAGTAACTCATGTTAGCCTTGTTGCCCACAGGTATAATGTTTTTAAATGCAAAGATTTTTAGCAAATCTTAATAAGATTAATGTAATATTCTATTTAAGCAAGAAAAACCTGCTTCAAAGGCTGGAAACTGGAATATCAGGGCTACCTAATGGCTGGACACCATAATCAGCAAGCTGGTTCCACATACACGTGCGTTGACAAGAATCCTGAGACCCTGCGTGGCGGCCATGCTGATGAAAATGGCTACCTGTTTTATTTCGTAGAAGCTCATTGCGGTTCACTGAAATGTCCACCATATTTTCAGGGAAGAGAAATTGTATGTGCGGTTTGTTCCAAAAAGTAAAGATAGAAATATATTGTTTAATTTATTGTCAGTTGACCAACTTTATAATCAAATCAACTTTTCATTTATAAAGTTATAGAAAAAAAAGAATGAAATGAAACATACAGCTTCTATGTCTATTTAAGAGCTAGGTTTCTTTTTATGCCTCTTATGACTAAGAAGAAAATTGTTAATAAGAGTATGAGATGATTTTCATATTAATTTAAATGATTAAATGTTTCCACAATATTTCAGAACGTTTTTAGGTAGATTGTCCTCATATTGGAAATAAAGGCTTTGTGAAATAGCAGAATTCTTTTATTTTTTTTGAAATTGATTAAAGATGAGAGCATTCCTTAAATATTTTTGATATGATCATACTCTTTAGACTAAAAATAAACTGTTTAATTAATACAATAAACAAGATGTGTTTGTGTGTGCCGTATGGCAACATAGCAAAGGTTAAACTTTTCTTAAACGCAAATTGATATATTGGTACACAAAGTAGGGTATTTTCATTGGAAATACAATTGTGAAATATTACAGTAGGTCAAGATTAAAGTTTTTTTCATCAGTACGAAAATCTCCAAGGTCAAGGTCAAAAGGTCATGGTAATTGTATCCAATGAAAGGTCTTGCCACAAAGAATACATATGTGTTGTATGTAAGCCCTAGCCCTTACCGTTTAGAAGTTATGGCCAAGGTTAAAAAAGTAAAAAGTAGGTCAAACACCAATGTCAAAGGGTCAACGTTCTTAATATCATATTGAAGGTTTTGTCACAAGGATAAATATGTAATTATGAAAGCACTAGCCCTAACCATTTGAAAGTTATGGCAAAGGTTTGCTTTTTAAAAATAAGTCAAACTCCAAGGTCAAAGGGTCAAAGTTCTTGATATCCAATGAAGGGGCTTCTCACAAGGATTACATATGTGAAGTACGAAAGCCCTATCCCTTATCGTTCAAAAGTTCTGGTCAAGGTTAAATTTTTTTCATGAGTACCGGAAATCCCCAAGGTCAGGGTCAAAAGGTCAAGGTTGTTGGTATCCAATGAAAGCTATTGCCAATAAATGAAGTATAAAATTCCTGGTATCTACTGTTTAAAAGATATGGCGAAAGTAAAAGTTTGGAATTTTTGTGTAAAAGTAAGTCAAACTCCTAGGTCAAGGTCAAAAGGTCACATTTGGTGGTACCCATAGAAAGGTCTTGTCTCAAAGAATACACAAGTAAAACATGAAAGTCATAGCTTCACGAAATCAAAAGTTATGGGCAAGGATCAAGTTTTTGCGGACAAACAGACAGCCGGATGGACACAACAACAAGAGGCCCATGGGCCACATCGCTCACCTGAGAAGCCTTTGACAATTCTGTCCTTTACTAGATTTCCCCCTTGTAATACAAATTGTGACCCCACTCTACCCCACTGATCACAATTTAGACAATTTGAAATCTACACTACCCCAGGATGCTTCCATATAAGTTTCAGCTTTTCTGGCCCAGTTGTTATTAAGAAGAAGATTTTCAAAGATTTTTCCTAAATATTTCTATGTAAAACTTTGATTCCCCATTGTGGCCTCGCCCAACCCCGGGGGTCATGATTTGAAAAATTTAGAATCTACACTACCTCAGGATGCTTCCACATAAGTTTCAGCTTTTCCGGCACAGTGGTTCTTGAGAAGAAGATTTTCAAAGATGTTTCCTATATATTTCTATGTAAAACTTTGATTCCCCATTGTGGCCCCGCCCAACCCCCGGGGGTCATGATTTGTACAATTTAAAATCTACACTATCCCAGGATGCTTCCACATAAGTTTCAGCTTTTCTGGCCCAGTGGTTCTTGAGAAGAAGATTTTCAAAGATTTTTCCTATATATTTCTATGTAAAACTTTGATTCCCCATTGTGGCCCCGCCCAATCCCCGGGGGTCATGATTTGAACAATTTAGAGTCTCCACTACCCCAGGATGTTTCCACATAAGTTTCAGCTTTTCTGACACAGTGGTTCTTGAGAAGAAGATTTTCAAAGATGTTTCCTATATATTTCTATGTAAAACTTTGATTCCCCATTGTGGCCCCGCCCAACCCCCGGGGGTCATGATTTGTACAATTTAGAATCTACACTATCCCAGGATGCTTCCACATAAGTTTCAGCTTTTCTGGCCCAGTGGTTCTTGAGAAGAAGATTTTCAAAGATTTTTCCTATATATTACTATGTAAAACTTTGATTCCCCATTGTGGCCCCGCCCAATCCCCGGGGGTCATGATTTGTACAATTTAAAATCTACACTATCCCAGGATGCCTCCACATAAGTTTCAGCTTTTCTGGCCCAGTGGTTCTTGAGAAGAAGATTTTCAAAGATTTTTCCTATATATTTCTATGTAAAACTTTGATTCCCCATTGTGGCCCCGCCCAATCCCCGGGGGTCATGATTTGAACAATTTAGAATCTACACTACCCCAGGATGCTTCCACATAAGTTTCAGCTTTTCTGGCCCAGTGGTTCTTGAGAAGAAGATTTTTTAATGACCCCACCCTATTTTTGTATTTTCTTGATTATCTCCCCTTGTGAAGGGACTTGGCCCTTCATTTTAACAATTTAAATTCCCCTTTACTCAAGGATGCTTTGTACCAAATTTGGTCAAAATTGGCCCAGTGGTTCTTGAGAAGAAGTCAAAAATGTGAAAAGTTTACGGACGGACAGACAGACGGACGGACGGACGGACGACGGACACAATGTGATCAGAAAAGCTCACTTGAGCCTTCGGCTCAGGTGAGCTAAAAACTATATACCCCCGAAACTTCGTTAACAGTGGCATAAAAATATTATGTTATACATTTTGTGGCCATTTGCAGTAAATGGCACCTCCAGGAGTTTCATCAGCATCAGCAAAAAAAAAAAATCAAATTGAATTGGTTACATGTAGCTTAAATATGTTAATTATGAAATAAATCATGATATTTAATTAAAAATTAGCATGCAATCGAGTTGTTTAAAAATTATCTGCTCGTTTAAGTTAGTGTCCTTATAACGTATATCGGATATTATTTGAAACCTTTTGAGGAAAAAAATACCTGTCAACACTGACAATGGCAAGGATTCTCCCCATTGAGTACTAAAGTGCACTGTGGCAACGCAAAATTACGCAGTTTGAAAAAAAATTTTCAAAGTGCGTTAAAATTGGGACAAACTCAACGCACTTTGAAAAAAAATTTCAAAGTGCGTTAAATTTTGGACACTCTCAACGCACTTTGAAATTTTTTTTTCAAAGTGCGTTAAGAGTGTACATCAACATTTTTTAACATGTGGACATTTAACGCACTTTGAAAAAAATATGTATGAAACAAAATTTCTAGACTTAGATTTTAGTAACTGAGAGAAGCAATTTATAATAATTATATCTAAGGGGAAAAAAATTAATTTACATTTATTGATTTACCCACATTGAGAACAAGGAGAAGATGAATTTATAAAAGGTCTCTCAGCCCAACTGTTTTTCTTCTTATACATAGCCGTCTGTATCAATTTAAAAATGGACCCCAAGGTAAACCCCGACCAATTGTTAATGCCAATATTACGTATATCTTTGCAAAACATTCGGGTGACTAACGCTTCCTCCACCCACTCCCTGCGTACCGATGCCTATGCTACACACAAATATATGTATTTGCATAAATGGTGTGACGTTGAAAATTTTCAATAAATATTAAAAATTAAAATATTAAATGCATGCACACTGGGGAAAAAAATAAGCACAGTAAAAGATTTAAAAGAGAAAGAATTTTCAAAGTATGAAAAAATCAAAATCGCTCACTTTCACATCCTGAAGTGACCTTGACACCGAAAAGTTATCTAACAGGTTCAATTATTAATCATACTTGAGATTTTCAAAAATACTGACCAAGCCTTACACATTTTTTTAAAAGTGTGTTAATATGGTCGATATCAACGCACTTTGAAAAGAAATTTTATTTTTTCAAAGTGCGTTGATTTGGTCCTAAATTTAATGCACTTTTAAAAAAAATTTTCAAAGTGCGTTGTAACAGTGCACTCTTCGTATAACTCAGATTGGATCACTGCAACTTTAAGCTACCACGACTGGGATATGTTATATCACTAATTTTAAGATTTATCAAAATTTTCCTTCCGTCAGAAGATCTGTGATAATTTATTAATTCATAAAAACTTTTTTTCTTATTAATATAGAAACACCTCTACTAGAAGCTGAGCTCGAAAAAGAGTGAAAACTTGAGTCCATCCATCTGGCATTATATTGATACCCTCTTGATTCTATATAATGAGTATATCTATGTCTAAATCTTGTAGCCAATTTTCGTATGCATTCAATCCCCTTGCATTGAAGGAGAAAACACTTAATGATGGGTTAATCATAATAAGATTTGTTCATAGGAAAATATAACGTGAATAAAAGAAGAAATGTTTATCATAGAAAGATTCTGAGAAACAAAAAATATTAACCTTGCTGTCTAGTGTCTGAGACATGACCACTTGTATCGTTGACATTTTCTCGAAATCTCTTTAATGGTCCTTCCTTAAGCTGACTTACGAAATCGGTGATTTCCTTCTGTGACGTCATAACAGCTTTACGATTTGGTTGACTCGGGAGAGACAAGACTCTTGGTTTGCGACGGTAATTTTTCGCTACTGCTTTCATTATTATGCCAAGCTTCAGGATTTGTTTTCACAATAGCTGAAATGTTGATACCAGTCCCCCAGAAATAATCGTACGTGGCTTCCGCTATGATAGATTTTGGGCCACATTTTTGTAGAGCTTCCTTCCTTTACTTGAGAGGCTTTAGTATCTATAATTGTAGACATAACGTCGTTCTGTTCTTTTTCCCAAGATTCGTTTTTAGAGATGCAGTCTCAGATGCGCTTTGCATCTCGTGCAGTCGTCGCAAAACAATTTTTTCGGCGGCCACAAGATCGCCATTTCGAATTGCTTTCGTGATTTGAAAAGCGTCTTCTGCTGACTTGTGTTTTTCCCCCAAAACTTAAATTTCTCTC